CGTAAGTTACGATCTTTAGCTAAGCCTAACCAGGTTGTTTTTGGGCCTATATCTAACCAAACTGCAACAGCTTTATTTTGAAAGTCTAACCAGACGTAGCTTATAACGCGAGAGGGGCACCTACTGTGTCATATTTTGGAGCGGGAGAGCTATTTGAGCTTTGAAATCTAAGCAGTAATTTTATAATCAGCCATGCCAATTTTCCCCACAATCCCCCTGGTGTTTAATAGTTCTTCACTTAATCATTTAATCTGTTTCTTTATGTCTGTCTGTAAGCTGTGAAGAATCTCAGTAAGCTTCCTGTATTTCAGCAGCTGTGAAATCTGACACAGTGACACCGTCGTGATCTTCGTCAGTAAAAGATAATCAACCAAACACTGGCAGTTCCAAACCCTGTCTCCAATTCTAGGACTCATTCTCCCATGAAGCTTTGCATTTTCTCATCTCATCCTGGCTGCCTTCGTGTCATAATTTCTGGATAATGGATGAGATTTTGAATTTTTTATATCGTCATTTGCAGACTGAAAATAAACCAGTGAATCTGCGCTCACACATTGGCAAAATCTTTTTAGGTCTTCAGACTAAACCTTTATAGTAAATCACAGAAATGTAAGAGACTGGGAGTGTCGTGAGAGGTCTCAGCATGAAAACTGTGAGGTTCACTCTACATAAAGAACTCAGGCAGCCTAATTGAAGGTATTTCAGTGCACAGTCGGTTATAAATAATGCATCTTTTATGAATTCCCTCTGACGTACAGTCGCTCCTGTAGTGAGGCTCCTGCAGAGGGAAAGCATGACGAAATAGTCTTCACACACACACACACATATTATAAGCATTCAGATGTTCAATTTGAAAGCATCAGGGGTGTTCAGTGTGACATCAGTGGTGATCAGTGACATACACCAACAAAACAATGCTCCAAACAAACATAAGTACATTGTGGTGACTTACTAATGGTTCTGTATAATTCTATTTTTTACATTCAGATAGGATTACTCTGTAAGATAGATTTTTATCACGAAAAGTTGGTTGTTTAACAATGAAGACTCCCATGATCCCATGCTACTTCACAACATCAAAAAACTACATCTGTTGTATTGTATCTGTCATTTTATTCAGGTAACGCTGCGTTTCACCGGTCGCCTGTCGATGGCGTCATATCCCCTTTGTGCCTGCGTCAGTGTTGTGGTTGTCTGCCATTATCCAGTCTGAAGGCCGGAGTGCGATTTGTTACCATCTCAGCTGTTATCAGCATCTTGGTTGCTTTGATAACTCTTAGATTTTGTAACCGGAATGAAGGATTATTAGTCAAATCGGACGAGTTATCAGAGAAACAAGCAGAGCTAACGTTAGCAGCAGTTCGGCTCGCAGCCCCTCCTTAACGATGAACACTGAAAGAATCCCAACCGCGAGAAAAGCTGAATGCAATGACGGCAATAGTGGTGAAGACAACAACTCCCATGATCCCACGCTACTTCACAAAAAACTATGCATTAAACATCGGTACCTGCCATCATTCTCAAATTGATTTTTATATATCTGTAAGTCTATATGTGTCAATATACCTTGAGCTTATATGGTCAACAAACACTGACTGTGCCTTTAAGGCTATTTTGGGGTTGATTTTGTTTGATTGACAGGTGTCTCAGCCTATTACACTCAGCCATGGTGGTTGCCACTTTCCTATCCCACCTCACCTCCATCCCCTTTGACCAAATGAGGAATTTCTGGCTCCAGTAAACTAACAGAGATGCAAAGCGGCACCCTGTCCATGCTTTCAGTGAGCATTTCATCAGTCTCAGTCAGCTTTCAGCGCTGAGTGAGGGGGTTGCCTCTGATGTGCACAGCTCCTACTGTACAGCGAGTGTGATGGAGCTAATGGCGCATCAGTGCAATGATAGCTTCACATGTATAGAAGTCTGTTTATGGCAACAGCGGGGTGACAGACAGGCCGAGAACGCCAACACGCTGGGCGAATCTTTCTGTGCAGCTGTCACTCAAACCTCTCACTGCTCAGGAGCACAAAGCCAGAGATTCAACCTGCGATGCTCGGGCTTTATTCATCTGTTGAATGCTGCCACATTTTCTATTGAGAGCAGAGAAATGATGCAGCGCTGATAACAGAAACTCATTCTTTTCCTCATACTCGCAGTAAGCCTGAAGTCAGCGCAGCAGCAGCACATAATACTTGTCATCTGCTTTGGTTGCTGATACATTGCAGTGTGATTAGTTCGAAAGGCACGTGTGCTCTTTGCTGTTATCATGAGAAACAGGATCGGACAAACAGCAGTCACATAAAGGCAATAGGCTGTGACAAATGGGTTTTAAACTAAAGGTCAGCAGTAGAGGTGTGAATCTTCACCGGCCTCATGAATCGAAGACGATTCACCCGTCAATAATTTTATGCATCTCGATGTATCGCATCCTCAGTCTTTTCTTTTACTACATGGCTACTTTTCCTCAATGAATACGTGCAGACAGATAAATTTGAACTGAACTCTGACTGTCAGGGCGGGAAGAGTTGAAAGCTGACAAATCCAAAGCAACAGGGAAGGGAATGGAGAAAGGGCAGAAAAATAGATCTCAACAGAATGGGATACAGAGCCGACACATGCTGCCACTGTAGCTGACCACAATGATTCGAGGGGTTCTTGGGAGTCCTGCTGAAGATACCAGCAGCGTAGGTTTTATAGTTCACTGTCGAATTTTACCATTGACATCATCATCACACTTGTGCCACCATGTTGTCCGTTAATTATTCTTCTGCACACACACTTACTGACCTGGAGTTGCAGTTATTTGTCCTTTGTCTCATTTGTCTCACTACTAAATATGAGGCTACCGTCTAGATGACCAATTTCAGTTCTTTTGGTCTCCATAGCTGCGATAGCCCTGACCAGCCCAGTCTCACGCTAAAGCGCGTCAAAGACCCCCCCCCCATCCACTAGGAGATACCGTGTCAGTGTTACATTTTGCCTCGCCTAGATGTTAGAAGTACACTTACGTATGAAGGTGCAGTGTGAAGAAAGAGGACAGGGTGGATACATACTGTTTGAGTCCTGAGTGAAACCAAAAGTCAGTGTGACTTACTTTAAGTTACGTATGCAAGTAACTCATGTAACTAAGAGGATTTGGTGCCTAACCTAACCAAACTGCAACCTCAAGCTTTATTTTGAAAGCGCTAAGCGCACATTACATCTTCATAATTGCCAACTTGACCACGGAAAACATTGTTTAAAACATGCCGCTGCTATGGTTGACCTGCATGTGTATTACACACTTTTGCTCCACATGTAGTACTTTTTGAGAAAGTGTGTATCAGCTACGGCTGTAGGTCCGCCATAACCGTACAAACTTACATTTGGATTAATACAGCAACCTGCTGCTTTTACTAAAACACATCTTGCAAAGACATCTCCACAGCAGCTCTGCTCACCATGATCACTGCTCTGAATGAAAGAACGGAAGCACAGCAGTAGCACACAGTAGCGCTGGCGTTCACGGACTGAGCATCCTGAAATGCTCTTCCTCAGTGCTGAAAAAACCAATCACTTGTTACCTGGCGCAGTGCCTGACTAAAAAGCTCGTTATACAGATATCTGAACATAGAAATGACTGGAAAAACAACCTCCAAGTGCTTCACATTATAAACTCTGGGAGCACAGGAAGCTCTCTATGTGCGCTTTAGTGTTGGTGGCACACTTTCACATCACTGATTTCCTTTTCCAACAGCCTGGAGGAACAATAAAGACGAGCACTTTACTGGATGCTCTCATCGCTTCCATCATGTCCTTACTGTTATTGTAATGTTCCTGTAGCACTGCCCTGATAGTGAACTGTAATTTGTGATTATTGACTTTTGTATGTTTATTAGGAGTTCAATAAGAACCTTTGAGAGTTCTTTGATCCGGAGGGACTGACACCAAAACATGATATCTACCATTAATATTTTAAAAAGCTGAAACTTCCCAGAAGCTGCTGGTAATGTCTGAGCAGGATGCCGTTGTACAAATCCAGTCAGCTCAGAATTAGCCTCATTATAGAGGATTTTCCTTTAAATGTGCAGTAAAGCTGTTTTATAGGTTACTATGGCTCAGTCTCTCTGCATGTGATTGGCCACTGGAAGATGCTTGTATCTCACACCCATTCACACACACACACACACACACACACTTCTCAAGCACTGTCTGACAAGCGTGTGCACAGGGACACACGCCTTTCATTTCAGGCACTGTTTCCTTGATGCAGGAACACCGCCCTCCACTCTGACAGCCCCTCTCCCACAAACACACAGCTGCTGCCGGAGCATTACATAAAGATAATCAATGCACTGGCAGCTATAAATAATTCAGCCTCTCCACCATCCACCACCAGCCGAGCTGCTGCTGCCGCTGCTCGGTGCCGCTGCTCGGTGCTGGTGACGGCGCTGCGGAGGAGCGGAGCCGGGCAGGCCCTCCTCATTCAGCAGCGCGGGGGTCTGCCTCATCCTCCTCATCAATGACTTCCAGCTGCAACCTCCTCTCCCTCCTCTTCCTCCCCTCCCTGTCTCATCATTCGCACCTACAGGCGAGCAATGGCGGTGAAAGAGGCGAGAAGAACCGCCTTCACCTGGACGGAAAGATGCACACAGCACCGAGCTGTTGCTGTTGTTGTTGTTGTTGTTTTGCACAGAAAGCGTGCCTTTCCCGCCACAGGTGTAGCTGAGTGATACCTGCAGCGTGCAGCCCGTCTGTTGATTGTGCACACACACTCACACACTCACACACACACCAGCAGCTCACGCCTAAAACCTGCGCGCACCCTCTCACTCCTCATCTCCATCTTCACCCCGCGGAAATGATCCGAGCTGCAGATACAATTCACACCCTCATCCCCTTCCCACAAAGAGCACACAAACAACAGTAAATAAGAAACGAGCACCCCCTGTCCCGCCGCCCCCGCCAACGCGCCCCCAACACGCTCTCTGTCACTCTGTGGCGCACAGTCCGGTTCCACTGACCTGATGCGTCTGAAGCGGCCGCGGCGGCGAAAAGGATCCCGACCAGTCTGCAGCCAAACCTCCGTGTGATGCCCGTCCTATATCCTCTCCCTCTCTCTCTCTCTCTCTCTCTCCACCCCCTCCTGCGCACTATTACCTCACAGCCTCCACTCTGTTCCTTCCCAAGACAGGAGAGAAAGCAAGAAAGCATATGGCGACAGACTCTCGCCAAGAAAGCCAGAGACACCCAACAGGTCTTTATCAATCAGTTTGAACATTTCTAAACAGAGAAACACCCGAACCGAACCAGCGTCAGGTCACTTCAACAACTCTAATGCCCAAAATATTAAAGCCCGGACTAGAGTCAGTCTAAGCCTTATAGGGGCTGGGCTTAGATTTCTTTCCCACTACTAAAATGGTGCATGCATTTAAAGTTAAAATAGATGCAGATGCAAATAGAGCTTAAAACTCCAATTAAAAGCAACCCGTCTCTTTAGTTGGAGATATTCCTGTTGTTTCAGCATCAGCAGCCTTACCTTATGTCCAACATATTGTTCATTTAATTGCTCTTAAATTAGTCTACTCATACAGCTCTCATCAGCTAAACAAATGTTAAATGAGGTGGTAACATGTTCACCATGTAACTCTGAAAAATCTCAAAGCTAGATTGATTGTGTGTACAGAATAAAATATATGTATGGTTTGTTAATTAATGTGCATTTTTTTTGCTGTTTCCCACTGCTTCCAGTCGTTATGCTAAGCTAGGCTAACCACATCATTACTCCAGCTCTGTACTTAAAGTATGAGATTCTGGATAAACATTCAGCGTTCATAAAACGCCATTAAACTATCAAGCGTTATTAGTTAGGATAGTTTTTACAAAAGCACAACGACCGAGGAGAGTAGTGTAGGTTTGCAGCTAAGCTAACAAGGAAGGTAACGTTACTTGTGTTTTTAGGTCGCGACAACAGCACATCTTGTCAAACTAGTCAGCTGAATGTCTGCGGGTAGGTCATTTAACGTTACCTGACACACAACTCCTGGCAGGGATAGAAGAAAGCGGTATGATGCACTTTATTTGCTTCCCTTTTACAGAGCCAGGGCTGTGTCGATTAGAATCACTGATCCCACCTTTAACACAAACTTCTCATCTCACATTTAAAGTAAGAAAAGAGCATATTTCCCCAACTCTACCTTTAATGTGTCTGTACCATAAACATCAGCAGCACCCTTCAGAAGGAAAATAGACACCTTGTGGGATTCATACCACTTGTAATTATAAGCAAAGACGTGGATCAGGTGATACAATCACATTGTAACGACCGTAAAAGCCTCATGGGAGCTGCAGTTGTTGAATGCTTGTAGTGCTCCAGTGGAGCAGCAGAAGCTCATCCAGCTTAGAATATGGACAAAAAAAGTAAACATGATTCAGAAATCAATCAAAAATGAATGAAAGGAGGAACAGCTGTGAGCTAAGAGAAGAGGTGGGGCTCCGGCTCTCATAAAGAAAGAAAATGCTGCTGCTGCGTTCAGGTGTCATCGGCTGTCGGAGCAGCCGGTGTAGCTGGAGGCTGCTGATGTGAAAGCCTGGTGTAACACTAATGCACTCATTGTTAAAGTGTCATTACCAGCCTCAATTTAACACTGAGCAAACACACACACACACAGAGACACACACACACGGACACAAAGCAAACAGACAGGACAGGTGCTGCCCGCCGCTCACCATCGAGTCACGCTAACAACATGGCTGAATCAGCTGAATGAAAGCAAACACAGCAACAACAACCTCATATCAGTATCATAACCAGGGGAAGGTTATGATAAGAGCACAGAAATGACTTAGAGTCTAAATATGTTTGTTAATCTATAATACCAATGACGGCTCTGGCCTGATGTTTGTTCACTGAATGTGTCCCAGTTCTAAATGTACACAGTTTTGAGGACGTAGTCTGCTTTGACTGGAAAAGTGTCCAAAACATGAAAAAATTAAATAAAACTCACCAAAACCGTATTTTTTAGTCTTTCCAACAGTCACCAACACTGGTTTGGTCGAAATAAATCCTTAATACACTTTGTTAGATGTGAAAATCTGATCAATCATTGTAGTTTTCTGCAAGTTTCACCAATCACAGTCCCCTGCCTGAAACTAATATCCAACGCAACTAATAGCGATTTTATTCTCACTGTCAGTTTTGAATTAATTATACAAAAACATGTTTGCAATTTTCACTTTATCCTGTATTTTCACCCAGTTCATGGTACGACCCGGCCTATAGGGGAAACAAGAACCACTAGCTAAAAAGAACTTGCAGCCAGCCCTTTCAAAGGTTTATTTTAATCTCATATCTTCAGGGTAAGCCAACAGCAAAACCATAGACAAAAAGAAGCTAAAGTTGTACACCATAAAGGTACAAAGCAGTTCCCCAAGCGAAGGGTTCAGTCATATCAAACTATACCTGGTGACCAGTATGATACACATCATGTTTTGGCTTGAAAGAGCTTTTCTGGAGCTGCTATTGTCAGATAATAAACAAAAAAACTAACCATAAAACAGACCATAAAAATTCACACAGTGACTTCTCAACATCTACAGAGTTAAAGGTCGAGTCCTCTCTTGTAAGACCTGTAATAGTAATAGTATAAAGAGCATTTTATGATCACTACAAAGAAAGACAAACTCCATGTTGAGTTGTTCCTGTAGTTCCGCGCAGCGTCAGTAAGCTCTCCAGAAATGATTTGCCCTCTGAGGATACAAATCTTTGTTATGGCGCTCACATCACGGGCTCTCGCCTCGCCACAGAATCCATCCTGAGGGGTCGCTGAGAGGTTACTTACACAGAATTAGACGCCCACTTCCACTGCGGAGAAACCTCTCAACTTATGAAATATGCAGACAGGTCTGATTATTGGCTGGATTAAAAGGCTTAATGTTGCCATTGTGTGAGATCAGTGGAAATGGGATGATGACGCTTGCTAATGGCCCTCAGGTCGGCTTCGAATCGGCTCGCTGTGCTTTCAGCCGCTTCCTCAGCTCCAGTTTTGGCTTTCTGGAGACATCTTGAGGAATTTCTCACTGTTTCACATTGTCTGCATGTTGAAAAGTTAATATTTTATTACACTCTCATTACGGGTGTGGTGCTTAAAGTCCACATTTTTCTGATTTAAGTCTCTTGATGGTCTCGCCTGAAGGAAAGTTGAGATGAGTCACTGTGTTAAATTCAGATGATTTAAAGTATTTTCATGGTATGAAACGTTTCACTAACCTTAAGACCCAGGCATGGTGAGACCTTTGTATGTTGCACCGGTTGCCACTCTAAAAAACACAGTTCAACATAAATAAAATCTTATTTATAGCAAACGTAAGGTAAAATGATGGTATTCTGCAAGGGTTAGTATCATTTCACTGAATAATTTAGGTGATATGTGCACACAATCATAAGTCAAAACATGGTTAATTTGGCTCCATCAACAGTGTGAAAGCAGCCAAATGCCCCTCAATGATGTGATCTGTGTCCTTGTCTGTGGCAGTGCATGAACTGGATCTTTTTGGGGGACTGGACGTCCACCATCCTCCTTCTTCTCTTTAATGAACTTCAGACTGTAAAAACAAACACTGAGTGGAATAACAGAGACTGAAGAAATGAGCTGAGAAAAGCTGCTGCCTTTCTTCTGAAAATCCAATCAGGAAAAGAACGCAGCACAAGATTAGCTGCATATTATTTAATGAATCAGCGTGCATGTGTAATGTTGTCGGGCTCCGAAAGGCGATCGCACCACAGCTGCTGCCGCCGCCGCTGCTGAGAGGAGTTCAGACTCAGTTTTGGGTGAAGATCAAAGTCGACTTTATCAGACACGTCAAATGACATTTTCTCACCTTCTGGTCCAGAAAAACTTCC